GCTTGCCACAGAGGAAGATGACACTTGGCTCACTGTTAGAGCATCTACAGTGGATGATATATACGGCCGTGATCTCACAGCAGTAACCGATGGAAATGCATTGATGGTAAGGGAATTGATTTTAGATAGGACTCCGCCAAACTTGGCCAACTTTACTCTAGACTTGGATGCAAATATACTCTACCTCACCTACTCTGAAGCTGTTGATAGAGAAGAGTTCAGCCCAAGTACAGTACAACTGCATGATTCTGAAAATGCTAGCTTCACACTGATCATAGACAGTACAACAACAGTATCACAGGAAAGTCGCACAATTCTTGCTCTCCATCTCCTTGCTGGTGATATCAACACACTCACTGAGAATCCCCTCTTTGCAACAGAAGAAAGTAACACGTATGTCACACTCTCAAACATGTCTGTTACAGACTATTATGACAACTATGCCGCACCTATGAGTCCGACTAGAGCATCCGTTTTCACTGAAGATGACACTGCCCCTCAGCTTGTGGGTGTGCTACTGGATCTGGATGCTGAAATACTGCACCTTACCTTCTCTGAAACTGTGCAGGGATCCACCATTGATCCAAATCAGGTTATCATTCAGGGAGCCCGAGTACAGTCAGAGAGTACTCCCCTTTACACCTTAACCTCGGGAGTACCATCTGACGTCAACTCCACTGAAGTCTACATAATGCTGGATTCGGTTGATACAAATGCCCTGAAGCAAATAGCTAATCTTGCAACAGGTGTGTCTGATACGTTTGTGGTTCTGAGAAATATGACTGTTATTGACATGAATATGAATTATAATGCTCTTGTGGAGGGCTCCAATGCTGTTTCTTCTGTTAATTTTACAAGTGACACGACCCCTCCGTTTATTAGCAATTTTTCTCTGAACCTGACATCAGAAGAGCTAACACTAACGTTCTCTGAAACAGTAAAGGCGTCGTCACTGGACATGGGCTTGTTTCACATCCAAAGTTCGTCCGCTTCTCCTCAGTTTAAATACTACCTAACAGGCGGAATCATAGTTTCAGGCGATGACACAGCGCTAACTGTAGAACTGAACGAAGCTGACCTCAATGAATTGAAAAAGTATGACAATTTGGCCACAAGTAGTAGCAACGCGTACCTCGGCTACTCTGCGTATGCTTTCACTGATACCTTCAATGTCCCAACAGCTGGAAGTGAAGATATGGTTCTGGATGTTGAGGTATTTTATGGCGACGAAACTCCACCAGAACTGCTCTTCTTTGACCTGGACATGGATATGGGTGTGCTTACCTTGTCTTTCACCGAGACGGTTAGGCTCTCGACCCTAAATCTTTCTGAAGCAACACTATCCAACAGACGACGCAGTGATCCTACCGTCTATACACTAACTGGAGGACAGTTCAGCCAAGAACCATCTCCATCTGTTGAGATTTTCCTCTCGGTTGAGGACCTGAATAATCTTAAGTTTTATTCCGATCTGGCCGACTCTAACAGAACATACATACACTTCACTGAGGACTTTGTGTTTGATATGGCTGGCAATGAGATCACTGAAGTACCATTGGAAACAGCTGTAAGGGTGAGGGTCTATGAAATGGACATCACAAACCCAGTCCTTGAGTCATTTGGACTTGACATGGATGAGGGAATCCTATCATTGACATTTAGTGAGACAGTATCGAGTGAATCTCTGGATCCATCAGAGATCACTATCATATCTGACTCTCTAGACAATGAAAACACATCATACGTGGTGTTGACTGGGGGTCAAGTGTCAGACAGAGATCCAACAGTCCTTGTGGTTGATCTTAGTGCCAATGACTTTAATGAGTTGAAACGCCTAACTGACATAGCCATATCTGAAAACACCACGTTCATTAGTATCACCATGTTTGCTGTTATTGACACAAACTTCAATCTGGTGGAAATGATCAACACCAGTGTGCCTCTTCAGGTCTCTAACTTTACTGATGATACATCTCCTCCCCAACTTGTTGCTTTCACGCTCAACTTGGACAATGGAATGCTTATACTAACCTTTGATGAAACAGTTAATATCAGCACATTTGATGTGTCAGCCATCACACTGCAGAATGCCTCTTTTATATCTACTTATTACACTCTGACTGATGGTGTAGTGGTCAATGATACTATCAACGATCCCGTAGTAACATTGCTTCTTGACCCCAATGATACTAATGAAATCAAGGCACTTTTATCTCTAGCAAACCAGGAGAGTGATACATATATCAGTGTCACAGACGATCTTGTTCAAGACATGGAGGACATCAGTGTTGAAGAGATATTCAACACGTCAGCTCTTTCAGTGACTGAAGGCGGGACGTACATTGCAGATGAGACACCGCCATCACTTATTGCCTTTGATCTTGATGCAGACACTGGTCTTCTTACACTAGAGTTTGATGAAACTGTTGATGCTGCAACTCTTCAACTGCCACTGCTAGTCTTTCAATCACACTCGGAAAATCTCGCTGATGATTTTGTGGCCTATCAGCTACGTGCGAGCAGTGCAGGGACGTCGGGAGTGTCTTCAATCATACAAGTACAGCTCAGTGCTAGGAATATTCTAGGTTACAAAATCACACCAGTTGCTACAACAAACGAGACCACCTACCTGCTACTCAGAGAGAATGCTCTATTTGATGTGGCACAAAGTCCTAATGGAGCTGTTGGTGTGGTGCTAAGAGTCAGAAACTACACATATGATGAGACTGGGCCCATTGTTACATCATTTGATGTTGACCTGACACGTGGGATAGTCATACTCAATTTCAATGAGCCGGTGTTAGCTGATTCACTCAATACCACTGGACTAACAGCTATCTCAGGACCAAACTCCACCACTACCTACACACTCAGTGGAAATGCTACTGCTTCAGATGACGATTTCTCGGTAGTGATTGAACTAACAGTCCACGAGTTGAATACGATCAAACAATTGGAAGACCTGTGGACACATGAGAATAACACCTACATAGCTATCGAGCCTCACTTTATCACTGATCTGAGCTACAGTCAAGTAATGAACATATCTCGTGAGAGTCCTTTACCGGTAGACAACTTTTACAACGATATGGACTTTCCCATTCTCAATTCATTTGACCTCGATATGAACAGCGGCATCCTCTTCCTACATTTTTCAGAGACGATAAACATCTCAACTTTCACCTATTCTGGTATCACACTTCAGGAGGTCCGGAATACGTACCTAATGCCTGAAGCTCATAGGTACCGACTCTCTGGTGGTGTCTTCATTTCAGAGGGTGATGTGGCGAGTGTTGTGACTCAACTGAGCAGGACTGATCTGAATGCGCTCAAACTGCTGGAGATTGCCAACTCTGAGGCCACAGCTCATCTGGTGATCGACGGAGGCTCTGTCTTGGATCAGACTGGAAATCCGAATGTAGGAATCATCAACGGTCTGGGTTCACTCACCGTTCGAAAGTACAAACCTGATATTTCTGGGCCGATTCTCGAGTCTTTTAACCTCAATCTTTCTTCAGACACACTCACGCTCTTTTTTGATGAGACAGTGGATATTGTGTCAACTTTCAATGTGACCAGCATAACACTCCATGACTTCAATGACACCACTAACTACACTCTTACTGAAGGAAGTGTCACACAGTCTACTAACGGGCCAACTATTGTGATAGAACTGAGTGAGTTTGACCGAAACAATATCAAAAGGGACACAGATCTGGCCACAGACGATAACAACACTTACATTTCTATCACATCTGATTTAGTTAGCGATATGACAGATAATCCAGCGCAGGAAATAGCTTGCTGCAACATGTCGGTAGACGTGTTTACAAATGACTCCGTGTCACCTTCTCTGCGGTCATTTGATCTGAACTTGACTTCAGAAGTCCTCACTCTCTACTTCTCAGAGACTGTTAATGTGGACACATTCAACGAGACTCAAGTGACATTTATCAATGTTTTTTCAGGAGAGTATTATTCGCTGACAAACATTTCCATAGAACATGGAAATGAACCAACTGTGTTTGTCAACCTCACCAGAGAAGACTTAAATGCTATCAAGCAAATGATAACTCTTGCAACAAACCCGAGTGATACTATGCTCTCAATAACCCCCTATGCTGTAGAGGATATGAATTCTAACCTCTTAGAAGAAATCCCTCTAGATGAGGCTATCCCTGTGACCATGTTCTACGCAGATACAGTAAACCCTGTTCTAGAGGACTTTGAGCTGGATATGGACTCCTCGACTCTCATCCTCTACTTCTCTGAGACAGTCGACACATCCAGTCTGTTGCCTGTGTATATCACACTGCAAAATGGCCTCACTGCTGAGGACAGCTACACTCTGACTGGAGGCTACACCAACACTAGAAATGACTCTGTTGTTGTGGTCAATATCATCACTCCGGACTTGAATCTCATCAAGTTTGATTTCAGTCTTGCTACAGACAGGGAGGACACATACATCACCATAACACCTAACCTGGTTGTTGATATGTTTAATAACCCAGTTGACAGCATTATAGAAGGCGAGGCAAAGTTGGCATCCAACTACACCCCAGATAGGACACCACCTGAGCTGGAATCTTTCAATCTGGACATGAACCTTGGGCTCATGACCTTCACCTTTGATGAAACCATCAATTCAAAATCATTTGGAGTGGACCACATAACTATCCAGTCTGAATTTGATACCACAGACCCTCTCTCATTGTACACACTGAAGGGTGGTGATTGGACCATGATAAACTCCACCATACTGTCCCTCAATCTGACGATTGATGATCAGGATGAAATCAAGTACCGCTTTGGCTTGGCTATAGATGAAAACACTACCTTTATCACATTCGATGAAGGGATGGTGGATGATATGAATGGCAATGCTGTGGTACCCAGAGTCAATGGGGAAGCTCTGAATGTCTCAAAATTCACCCAAGACACTAGTCAACCCGTCTTGGTCGAGTGGTATATTGACCTAACAGTTGGAACAATCACCCTGTCTTATGATGAAACTGTCAACCAGGCAGCAATTAATGTGACCGAAATCACCCTCCAGGACAACAGCACTTTTAACTTGGCTACTCACACTCTCAACGATCAGACTGTTCCCACGAGTGACAATGGAACAAGCATCATTCTCCTCCTCTCAGTTGACGATCTGAATGAAATCAAGCGAAAACAACTCTGTACTGACAACTTACAGGAAGAGGATTGTTACATAACTTTCAGCAATGCATCCATTGAAGATATGAATGCAAACGCTGTGGTTGAAAGAGAAGAAGGAGATGCTGAAAGAGTCTTCAACTACACTAGGGATAGCTCAAATCCAATGCTGGTGGACTCAGACACAGATGGATTCGTTGAAATTGATCTGAGCAGTGGAACAGTTACTCTACGATTCAATGAAACAGTGAATGTTACAAGTTTTAATGCCAGAAGCATTACACTGAAGCCCTTCTACCAAGTTCCCACACACCTTGGTGTCACACTAACTGGTCCTGATGATACCCTGACACAAATGGACAGCACAACTGTTGTGTTTCAGTTAACAGTCGATGACCTCAACAGAATCAAGGAGAGAACTGAGCTCTGTACTGAAACTCTTCCGCCTGATATTCGAACACCGGACTGCTACCTTGAAATCACATCGGACTTGCTCCGCGACATGGCCAGAAATCCAGTTGTAGGAATCCAATTTGACGACACAGCTGCCAATCGGGCATTTGCTACCACTCTGTTACCTGATGTTGTCCAACCAATGCTCGTTAATTTCTCCATAGATATGGACACCAACAATGTTACACTGACGTTTGATGAGACTGTGAATCGAGAGACGTTTGAGCCTAGTGCACTTACCTTCTACAACAGTCCCAATGCAACCGAATATCACACACTCACAAGTGCTGTAGTACTCTCCACTGAGAACTGGATATACCTCTCATTTGAGCTCAGCTTTGATGATGTTGTGGCCCTCAAAGCTTTGGAGTCACTCGCTACCGATACAAACGATACCTACATTTCAATCACAAGTGGTCTCATTCAAGACATGAACTCTAACTTTGTCACACCACTTCCAATAGTAGGGGAAGCCCCCATGGGAAACGAAACAAACGACACATCTGAAGATGTTGTGAGGGTCCAAGCATGGCATTACGAACCGGATATTACACCACCCGAACTTCAATATTTCACCCTCAATCTGGAGGATGGAGAAATATCCCTGACATTCAGTGAGCCTGTGAGAATTAACACACTTCGGTACCCCAACGTTACCCTTCAGAACATGGCTAATGGTACCTTCCCTGGTGTAGAGGCTGTCACATTGACTGGAGGCTCAGCAATGTACCTCCATCCCAACAAGTCTAATTTAGTGGTATATCTGACTGCCCATGACAAACGCCAGGTTAAACTGATGGAGGATCTTGCCTGGGATCCCAGGCTTGATGACACATTCATCTCCATCCCCGAAGGAACCATTCTGGACACTGCAGGGAACAGAGTAGTTGAAATACCACGTGAACAAGGGAGGCTTGCAACGAGGCTAATACTGGACAGCCTTCCACCAGCGGTCGAGTTCTTTGACATAGACCTAAATGTTGGGACACTCACATTGTATTACTCTGATTTTGTTGATCAGGATACATTGAACCCTGAGTTCCTGACTCTACACAACGGCAACATTGGTGATGTCGTCTCTATTAATCACACCCTCACTGGCGGCAACACACACAGTAGTAATGGGTATTTTACAGTGCTAGAATTCAACTACAACGATCTGAATGAACTGAAACGAAACGAACAACTTGCCACCTCTCCTGCTAACACATTTATTACACACACAGAAGAATTTATATTTGACGAGAGAAACTTGCGTATCAACTCTATTCCACGACCAGAGTTTGGAGTGTTTGATGCTCTGATGGCGCGGAATTTCACTGAAGATACCAACCCACCAAGCCTCTTAGAGTATGTGTTGGACATGGACGAAGGCATCCTTCATCTAACATTTAATGAGACTGTAAAATCAAACACGCTGAATAGAACTCTGATCACGTTCCAAAGTGTTAATTCGACCGTACTCTTAGAGAATGCGACTTTCACTTTTAACGATACCGGCTTTGAGATTGCTACAGGTTTTTCATTTGACAACTTCACTGATCTACTGAATGCAAGTGGGTTCAACATCGCAGATAACGTAACTCTGGCACAGTTGAATATCACTGGTGACTATGAGAATATGACCGTAGCTGAGGTTGTTTATTTCTTTAACATGAGTGAGGTAACCTACTACTACGCTGATGATGTGCTATACTATACACTTACTGGTGGGTCACACGCAGAAGAAATGGATGATCCAGTAGTCCATTTGACATTGTCCGAGTTTGATTGGGATGAATTGAAGAGAATTTACGGACTGGCTATATCTAGTGAAACTACATTTATCACTTTCCCATTTAACCTGATACGGGACATGAACTCCAACTGGATCGTTGAGAGACCCACCACAGACGCTCTCAAAGCCTTCTTGGACCCTGACATCACTTCCCCACATCTTGTCAGCTGGGACCTAGATATGAACAGGGGCATCCTCACTCTATACTTTTCTGAGACTATTAATGCAAGTTCTTTCGATGTTACTCAGGTCCGCATCCAGTCTGCTCGAAACTCGACAGTCGGTCACACTCTGAGAGGTGGACAACACTCCCTCGATGACACCCTCTATATTGTGCTGTGGATCACAAACGCAGACTTGGATGAAATCAAGAGAATTGAGCTAATTGCCACTTCCGAAAATGACTCGTACATCTCTTTCAGTGAGTACTTGGTTGAGGATATGAACCTTAACACTGTGAGTGAGATAACTACGACTCACGCTCTCCAAGTGGCCAACTTCACTCAGGATATCACTCCTCCAGAATTGATATCATATGACCTTGACCTGGATAGTGACCTGTTGCTCCTTACATTCTCAGAGACAGTTGACGCTGATACAATACAGTATGACCTGTTCACCTTTCTCAGTGGGCCCGGATCTGTTGATGAGTTTGGTGTTCTTACTCTGGGCAGGGACAACTCGACCTCTGCCGATTCAACCATGATAAATCTGACACTGTTGAAATCCAATTCCGATGAGATCAGACGACTTTACAACCTGGCAACGGCCAACTCTTCTACCTACCTCTCTATAAGTGAAGGAGCTATTTTGGACATGATTGGAAACAATGTCACGAATATCAGTGGAGAAAATCCACAACAGGTTGGAGTATTCACCCCCGATACCACTGAACCATTCCTAGAGTCGTTTGATCTCGATTTTGATTCTGACAAACTCTATTTGACCTTCTCTGAGACGGTTGATGTGACAACGTTTGATGTAGAACAGATCACACTGCTCAATGTGAACACTACAGATACCAATGAAACCGTATTCAACCTCACCTTGACTGGAGGAGATATAACAATGGACAATTCGACACTAGTAGTTGTGAATTTAACACTGGAGGACAGCAATGAACTGAAGCGAGTGCCTGGACTGGTATCATCAAACGAAACGACATTCATATCACTTACTTCTTACCTCGTTGATGACATGTACTCCAACAATGTAACTGAAATTTATCCTGAAAACTCTGCACCTGTTTTTGTCTATACTGAGGACACAACTCCACCTGAGCTACTTGATGTCAGCTTCAATCTGACGTCAGAGCTCTTAGTCCTGTATTTCTCTGAGACAGTCAACACCACTTCTCTGGACGTGACCCAAATATCTTTCGTTCGACAAGCTGATGAAGAAGTGCCAAACGACTTGTCCTTCTCCTTCACAACCCCAGGGACCTTTACCATGACCCCCTACAATGACGTTGTCACCATTGAAATTGGGCTGGATGACCTCAATGAAATCAAGCGAATTAGAGGTCTTGCTGATGGATCAGGCAGAATGTATGTCGCAATTACTAATTGGACAGTAGCTGATATGAATGGAAACCCTGTGGTAGAAGCCACTGGAAACAACAGTTTCCCGCTGCTAAAATTTGGCCAAGACTCCATCAGACCAGAGCTTGAGTCGTATTCATTAGACATTGATTCCGGCGTTCTAGTGCTCAACTTTAGTGAGACAATTGATATCTACAGCTTCAATATCAGTCAAATCACACTGCAGCCTCGTGAAAACGTTTCAACTGATTTCTTCTCCTACACTCTCACAATGGGTGGTTCACCACTGCTCAGCTCGACAAAGTCTAACGACACTCATAGCGTGAAGGTTGATATTGGGTCTGTAGATCTGAATGCCATCAAGGAAATCACTGAACTGGCTAGGGAGCCAAACACTACATACCTGAGCTTCCCAGACACGATGGTGAGTGATATTGCTGGTAATCCTGTTATGCCCGCGCCCAGCACAATGGCTCAACCCATCTCACCTGAATTCTTCTCCGAGGATGTCCAAGGCCCAGTTCTGCTCTCGTTCTCTCTAAACCTGACATCCGGAGTTTTAATACTCACCTTTGATGAGACTGTCAACATCTACAGTGCTCAAGTATCTCTGATAACTCTACTTTCTCGGCTACCTGAGGATCCTGTGCTGAGTTCTGGATCTTCGTCAGGATCTGGTTCAGGTTCAGGCTCTGGTTCAGGTTTCAATCGTCGGCAAATGACGAATGATCTGTCCATGTACATTTTGACTGGCTATGATGGTATAGCAACTGATGGAGCCGAAGTTAGCATTAGTCTCACAAAAGCCGATCTTGACCTCATAAAGCTCATACGTGGTCTTGCAAGCTTCAGCAACAACACCAATCTTCAAATTGAAGATGCTGCATTTTATGACAATGCACTTGAGCCAAACCCAAGCAACGGCGCTGTTTTACCAGTCAGAGATATGGGTTACACCCGTGACAGTGTCTCACCGACTCTGAATAACTTTACTGTCAACATAAACAGCAGCATCCTCATTCTTAACTTTGATGAGCCTGTTGACACTGAAACATACGATGCCACTGGTCTCATTCTCCAAGGAACAGAAACCTTCATAGACGTTCGTGGGACGTATCGACTGACAGGAGGGGTGACTCCAAGTGTTCCAGGGCTCTCAGTAGTTGTCCCCATAACCGAGAGCGATCTGAATGAAATAAAAAAGAATATCATGCTCTACACAGACATAGACTCTGCATATCTTGTCATTGAGTCAGAGTTTATTAGGGACATGGCAGGAAATACTATTGTACCAATCCAAGATGGAGATGCAAGAAAGGCCGTAAAGTTCATTGATGACGCGACAATGCCTCAACTTTTAAGCTTCGATCTTGATATGGACGATGGAAGTCTCGTACTAATATTCTCTGAAACTATCAATGTCTCTTCACTCAATCTTGACGAGTTCACCATTCAGAAATCATCCTATGTTAATACCAGCATTGAAACCTCCAGTTATACCCTTCAGAGCAGCTCCCTCTATGCACCTAGGGACAATACCATTGTATTTGTAGATATATCAGATTCGGACCTGAACCAGATAAAATCTCGTAGGATCGCAGACAGTGCCAACACCACATGGGTTGTGTTTCCCGCCACATTTGTCTCTGACCAGAACCAACAGGAGGTTGCATCCAGAGACAATGGTCTGGATGCCCTGCAGGTGTTGTTTGATGACTACACACCCGACACAACTGACCCGGTTCTGGAGTCATACGTGTTGAACTTGACACAAGGAACTCTAGTGCTAACATTCAGTGAGACTGTTGATGTTGGCGGTTCACTGGAGGTGACGGAACTGACTATTCAAAACAGTGCTCGCATAGTACAAGATGTTGATGGGCTTTTCTACTACACCTTGACAAATTCTAGTTATTCATCAACTTCACCTGATGGTGCAATTGTTACCGTTACTCTCGGTTTGAATGACCTCAATGCCCTGAAAGCAAGAACATCTCTGACAACAGTCACCAACAACACTTTCGTCAGTTTCAGCTCGTTTGTTATAGCTGACACAGTGGGAAATGAAGTGACCAGGATTTCTAACAGACAGGGTCTAAAAGCAAGTGAGGTTGGAGCTGATACAATCCCACCTGAGCTGGATGATTTTGTCCTCGATCTCTCCACGGAAATACTCACTCTATATTTTTCAGAAACTGTCAATGTAGCCAGTATAGATCTGACAGAAAGCATTCTCCTGAGTAGCCCCATTGATGGTACAGACTCGGTTGAGTCTGTGAGACTAACTGGTGGAGTGATTCATTCACTTAACACACCTGTTGTTCAAGTGCTACTGAATATCCCTGACCTCAACGAAATAAAACGACTATATAACCTTGCAACAGAAAGAAACAACACCTACTTGTCCTTTACATCATTGTTTGTGACTGATACGAGTAATGTGGACGTGGTGGCACTCAATGTGTCTTTCCCAAAGCAGTCTCTTAGTCTCATACCAGATATGGTCCAACCATCGCTAGTCAGCTTTGATATCTCTCTTGATGGGCTGACAGGTACCTTGACACTTACATTTGATGAAACAGTGAATGCTGATTCTCTGAATGTTACTGGCATTACCATACAAGACAACAGTACTGTACAGCAGGAGTACTACACTCTCCAATCCAGTGCAACTCTGAGTCCAAATGGAACTGTCATTGTCATAAACCTAACGGAAGAAGACACAAATGGGTTGAAGGAACAGTCAAACTTAGCATCGTCTCAATATAATACTTTTATCTCCTTGACTTCCAGTACAATTAGGGACATGAACGACAACCAAGTCGTGGAAATTGGCAGAAGATCAGCTCGAGGAGTGTTTGAATACACCGAGGACCAAACACAGCCAACGCTGCGGTCCTTCACCTTCAACCTGACATCTGGCGTTGTTGTATTCTCATTCTCAGAGACGGTGCGAGCCAGCACATTTGATCCTACTGCAATAACATTCCAGAGTTCTGCCGTTTTTACTGATGTTGAGACCTCTTACACACTGACTGATAGTGTTGAATGGACAATGGCGTATGACACGGAAATCATACTCACTCTTTCGTTTAACGACCTGAACAACCTCAAGCAGCGGGTGGGAGTTGCCACTGGTCCTGAGAACACCTTCATCAACTTCACGTCCTTGCTCGTGGAAGATATGAACGCTAATCCCATCGTTGGAACGGACAAAACTGAAGAAAGAGAGGCAACTCAGGTTCAATCTGGAAGTTTTGGATTAGACACAGTTCCGCCGGTTCTCCTAGAGTATGTGGTAAACTTAGAAGAAGGAGTGTTGATGCTCACGTTCAGCGAGGCAGTAAATATCACCACTCTCGAGCCTACCCAGTTCACAATCAGAGACTGCTGTTTCTATTGTAACACTGAACAACCAAGCTCTGGGTCAGCCTCTGGCTCCGGCGTCATTTCTGGTTCAGGTTCAGGTGAGGTTGGCTATAGTGTTGGCTCAGGTAGTTCAAGTGAAGTGGTATCTGGTAGTGGCAGTGCTAGTGGCATGGACTCTGGCTCTGGCTTCATTGATGACCTGGATGAGCTAGAAACTTGCACCGAGACATTATACAACCACACACTGACTGGTGGCAGTTGCACGAGCGATGATCAGACAGTGTTTGTCTGCCCACTCACATTTGAGGACCTCAACGAAATAAAACGTCAGAAACTGTGTGTTTTTAGCAACAATGGAATGGATTGCTGTCTCTCAATCGCTGGTGATCCAATTCTCGATCAAGCTAGTAATTCACTTGACAATATATTTGACGGGTGTGGATTTGATACAACATCGTACACCCCAGATACTAACCCACCCTCCCTAGTTTCCTTCACACAGTTTAATCTTGAAGAAAACACTGTGACCCTGACATTCAACGAGACCATAATGGCAAACAGTGTTAATCTCACAAAGGTGACTCTCCAATCTTTCTATCGCGATGCACAAATGTCTCATACACTGACTGGTGGAGTTGTCACTAGCTCAGATGACATTTATGTCGTGTTTACGCTGTCAGATTATGATCTCCTAGCAATCCAGCAGCACAGGGGTTTGTGTTCTGACATCAACAACTGCTGGATATCTCTGGCTGAGGGGTTCGCTACAGATATGGCTGAAAACGTTGCTCTAGTGGTTCCGATGAACTTTGCCGTTGATGCACTTGATTTCGTCGATGATGTAACCTCACCAAGTCTCGTGTCCTTCCAACTGGACTTGAACAATAACACTCTCACGTTGAGCTTTGACGAAATTGTCTCCGCATCGCCTCTTGATGCTACTGCTATTTCAATATATGGAGACCAGTCTGTGGATGCTGCATTTGTCCAGCTCAGTGGAGGGACAACTTCAAGTTCTGATGGAAGGGTCATTATCATTGATTTGCTCTACGCTGACACTAACCGAATCCGTGCAACTGAAATGATTGGTACGTCTGAGAGCAACACCTTTATATCCATAACAAGTGACCTCATAAACGATGCGGTACAGAGAGAGCCAAACCCAGTGATACCAATTGGTCCAGATGAAGCACTACCCATCATGGCAGGTGGGCTCAGAGCTGACATGACACCGCCAAACCTTGTAATGTTTTCACTAGACTTGGACTTCGACCTCATTAGTCTCAGTTTCGATGAGCCTGTCCGGGTGTCTTCGGTGGAATATGAAGGTATAACCTTGATATCGAGTCAGTCTCCTGCTCCAAGTGATTCGAGAACTCTTGTTGGAGGCACCAATATTGATGATACCAACATCAATGGGACCATGGTCCTGACTGGTTATCTAGAAGGTCCAGACATTCGCTACCTCAAGCTGTCACCTCTACTTGCAACCAGCAGTCAGGACACATGGCTGAGCATTTCAAATGGGTCTATACTGGACATGGCGGGAAATGAACTTGTGGCTATTCCATTCCAAATGGCACTTCCCGCATCTGAGTTTGTATTTGACACCACCCCTGCCGAGCTAATTGACGTTGTTCTCGACATGAACCTGGGTCTTCTACACCTCACCTTCAACGACATCATCAATGCCAGCATGTTCTACCCTGAAGCCGTGACTATCCAAAATGCTTCAGTCATCTCTCCTGATAGTGTTACCCTCACAAAGGGTAGCTTGACTGAGAGTGAGAATGGATACCGCATTTCCATTAATATCTCTACTCCGGACCTCAACCGGATCAAGGTCAACGATAATCTTGGGACCGCCCGTGAAAATGTGTTTGTTTCACTCAGAGCTGAAGCCTTCAGAGACAATTATGGCGAAAGTATTCTGGCAACTATCTCAAAAGAGGGACTGCCTGCATCAGACTTTATCTATGATACTACGTCACCAGTCCTGCTCAATTTCGAACTCGACTTGAACAATGGAGCAATTATACTCACCTTTGATGAAACTGTCCGTGCAAATACAATCATCGAAGAGGAAATAATTCTGCAGAGTGTACAGAACTTCTCCGCCAATTTTAGTTCCCTAAAGCTCAACGGTGGCATGTCCTCCGTATTGGATTCCACCATGATCACAGTGTACTCAATAACAGACGACTTGAATGAAGTGAAGAGACTGATAGACCTAGGCACCGGCAGGAACAACACTTTCATTGCATTCAGCAGTGACCTCATCATGGATATGAACAAAAACCCTGTGTCAAACATCACCATTGAAGAAGCTTTAATGGCTCTTAATGTCTACCCCGATTACTTGAGTCCTGAGCTTCTCACCTTCACAATCGATCTGACCATGGAAGAGATTGTTTTGACATTTGATGAAACTGTGAATGGATCTTCACTGAGTGTTTCAGAGTTCACTGTACAAGGAGCAATGGAGCAAGGGCAGGAGTTCAGACAGCTTTATGATAGTACACATTCGACTGACTTCTCAACAGTAGTCACCATATACCTGGGGCTCAATGATCTGAATGAAATCAAGCGCCTCACATCGGTTGCCACTTCAACTTACAACACGTACCTAGTTGCCACACAGTTTGCCATTCTAGATATGAGTGAAAACCCTATGCTACCTGTACCACCATTTGCTGGAATTCAAGCTCTAAACTTTAGTGATGATGAAATACAACCTGAATTGATTGGGTTCAGTCTCAACATCTCATCAGAAATACTCACTCTATCCTTTTCAGAGACTGTACGTGCATCTACACTCACAGCCTCTTCAATAACCATCTATTCAAGAGCCCTAAATGATACAATGGCTCAGTCATACACTCTCAGTGGAGGCATTCTGAGTCCCTTTAACTATCATGAGATAGAATTGGAGCTGACTACTGCAGATCTCAATGTCATCAAACAGGTCGCTGACTTGGCGGTTGAAAAGAACAACACTTACCTTTCCATATTGGGTGGTGCGATTGAAGACATGAGTGGAAATCTGCTGCTACCCACAAACAGATCGGCAGAACTTGTGGCTAATGATCTGATCCCTGACAGTGTACTGCCAGAGCTGCTCTCATTCAACCTCGACGTGGACGCCGGACTACTAACACTCATGTTTTCTGAAACTGTCAATGTCTCAACATTCGATATTGAGCAGATAACTCTTCAGGATGCTGTGTCTTTGAGAACGTAACTCATCAACACACACTCTCCGATGAAAGTTACACTACATCCTCCAACTCTGCAATTGTGGTGGTTGATATTGCTGACTCTGATCTGAATGAGATCAAGCATCTACACTTCCTGGCAAGAGACAACAGCTCTACCTACCTCTCCACTAGTCAATTCTTGGTTGAAGACATGAATGGTAACAGTATTGTGGCTATAGACGCAGACAAACCTCTACCGGTATCCCTCTACATCAAGGACACCAATCAGCCTGAGCTTGAAGAGTTTGATTTGGATCTTGATAGCAGTGAGCTCACACTGCGCTTCAATGAAACAGTCAATACCGAGTCCCTGAGTGTTGAGGCTATAACTATCCAACAAGCTGAAAATTCGAGTGGTTCATTATTCACTCTGTCGCTTACAAACACAAGTTTTACTGCTTCACCAAATGATACTTATCTGATTATCAGCATTAGCACCTTGGATTTGAATGACCTCAAACGTCTGACTAGTGTAGCCACATCGAGTAACAATACTTTCCTCTCCCTGACTTCGGAGGCAATAGATGATATGGAGCAGAATGCTGTGATACAAATCCCTGGAACTAATGCACTTCAGGTCGCCAACTTCACCCAGGACCAAATCAGACCCACTCTGCTATACTTCAGTCTCGATGTTGATGCTGGCGTCCTCACCCTCACATTCTCTGAAACTGTGAGAGTCTCATCATTCAACACATCATTGCTCACATTGCAGTCTGCGAGCATGGCCACTGATGAGAGACATACCCTGAGTGATGGTCCCTATCCTAATTACAGTTTTACTAACAGCACTGATGATCCAGTTATAACAGTTTACATAGGTAGCATCGATCTGAATGCTGTGAAAGCCATTTACCAGCTCGCCACAACTCCTTACAATACCTATGTTTCATTTCCGAATGAGACAGTGTTGGATATGGTGGACTTGCTGGTTGAACCAATCCCAGATTACCTTGCCAAGTCAGTTGCAGCAGGTGGCTACCAGGAGGATATAACAGGACCCTTACTTCTCTCATACACTCTCAATCTCACCTCTGAAGAGCTCATCCTCACATTCGACGAAACAGTAAATGTTGGAAGCTTCAACATCACCGACATCACACTCCGATCAGCTGAAAACACGACACTGTCTTCATACCATGTCCTCCGTGATTACCGTTTGATCTCTACGGAAAACTCAACCACAGTCAAGTTCTTGCTGTCCCTTGATGATCTCGATGACATCAAGCTGGACACAGAGCTAGCCACGAGCCCACAAACAACATGGCTACAGATTGATTCCACAGTGGTGTATGACATGGCACTTGAACCTAATCCTGCTCAGAATCTCACACTAGCAATTGATGAAACTGGCTATGAAGAGGACAAGGTGGATCCTGTCCTTGTGTTGTTCTCTGTGGATATGAATCGAGGACTTCTGTATTTGACATTTGATGAGCCAGTCAATGTCAGTTCTATAGATTACACTTCCATCACCCTCCTCTCTGGGAGAGTCGAACTGGCAAGTGAGACAAATATGTCTGCCAACTCAACATCATTCAATGAAACTATGGTCAATGGCACATTCACTAATGCCACAATGGACATGGAATTTGGAATGGATGATGTCATCATAGAAGTGCCCATTACGAGCTTCACTTTGAACGATGGTTCAACGTACAGTGCTAATGGTCGCCTGATAGTAGTCAATATCACTGTGGACGATCTAAATGAAATAAAGCGGAATGAACATCTGTTCACATCAAACCTCACATCCTACATCAGCATTGAGTCCACTGCAATTGAAGACATGAACGGCAATGCAGTTGATCCAATTCTTGCATCAGATGCCAAGTCTGTCTCTGTTTACTTTGACGACGTAACACCCCCAGTCTTTCTTGGGTTTGATCTGGACATGGACAGTGGACTCATAACTCTCCGTTTCCCAGAGACGGTTGATGTGTCAACATTGTTGTTTGGCGGTCTGATACTGCAGCAGGGACCCAACGTCTCGTTGGAGATGAGCCAGTACATGTTGACCGGTGGGAATCTGACCATGATGGAAGATGGAGTGACTGCGCTGATCAGGATAACGCACGATGACTTGAACGAGATCAAACGGAGAGGTATTGCTCTCACTCGAGAGACTGCCTGGCTCACAGTAAACGAGTCAGCCATCCTTGACATGGCCGACCAGGGAGTGGTAATGGTGACTCGGATGGTGTCCAACTATACAACCGATTCCACACTTCCACAACTGCAGAGCTTTGACCTCGACTTGGATTCTGAAATCTTGACATTGAGCTTCACTGAAACTGTGGATGTGTCACAGTTCAACATAACTTCAATCACACTCCAAGATACTGCTATGGGTAACTATTCCCTCAACCACTATTCCCTGACAGTCTCAAGCTACCTGAACTCCTCAACCTATCACACTCTGGAAGTGGTTCTTGGGTTGGATGATCTGAATGCCATAAAGAAACTCACAGAACTAGCCATTGATCAGAATAGTACTTTCGTTTCAATCAGCTCTGATCTGGTTGAGGATGTGTTTGGGAACAGTGTGGTGGAAATATCTGGTACAGTGGCACTGCCAGTGGGAACATATACTGCTGATAGCACATCTGTTGTTCTGGAAGAGTTTGATTTAGACCTCGATCTTCGAGTCTTGACTCTGTACTTCTCTGAAACAGTCAATGCTTCCTCGGTTAATATCAGCTCTATCACACTTATCGGTGGACAAGACTCAGAGGACCAATTCTTCCAGCTAGAAGAGAGTTATGTCAATTCCACAGATGGGCCAACGATTGACCTAATTCTACCCAGAAACGATTTTAACATCATCAAGGCCTTGATTCAACTGGCAACAGATGAAAACGACACTTTCATTGAACTAACAGAGGAAGCAGTGTTGGACATGGCTGGGAATCCAGCTGTGCTCATCCGGCAGCCAAATGCTAAACGAGTACGAAACTACACGGCTGATGTCTCACCACCAATGCTGGAGAACTTTGACCTCGACATGAATGGTGTAAACATCACTCTCTATTTCTCTGAGACGGTTAATGTCTCCAGCATCCAATTCTCTGCATTGACTCTTGTTGAGTCTCGCCAGCCGTATGCCGTCAATTATACGCTAATAGAAGGGGAGATACTCTCTCCCAATGGTCCGAGTGTTACCATACAGTTTTCAAAGGGGGATGAGGACAACCTGAAGAGAATAACTCAAGTGGCCACAAGTGAGGACAACACGTTCCTACTAATTACATCTGAACTGGTTACTGATATGGATGATAATGCAGTTGTCAATCAAACCACACCTACACCTCTCCCAGTCAGAAATTTCACTGCCGACACTATACAACCCTATCTAGTGAACTTCACACTCGATCTGAACAGCAATATTCTCACACTCACCTTCTCTGAGACAGTCAATGCTAGTTCGCTCAGTATCAACTCTATTAGTTTACAGGCTACAGAAGAGCTGGGAAACACCACAGAGTATCACACCCTGACAGACAGTGTCACTATTAACCCCAGTTCTGACCATCCAATACTGGAAGTGAGTCTCAGTCGATTTGATGGGAATGAGATTCGGCGGCTAAGAGCACTGGCAACTGAGCAGAACGACACATATATCACATTAGAAGAAGGGACTGTATTAGATATGGTCAATGGAGTCTCACTGGAAGTGTTCAATGAGTCAGCCAGAATGGCAGTCAACTACACTGGAGATGATACAAGTCCAGAACTGGAAGCATTTGCTTTTAACCTCACAACGGAAGTCCTGACCCTGAGCTTCTCCGAGACTGTTGATATCGCAAGCTTTGATGCTTCTGGGATAACCCTTCACAGTGGGCAACTCAATAACTCTGTCAGTTTCACTCTAACAGGAGGAATAGTTGCTAACACAGATGACACCCCAGACGTAGCTCTCATTCTCACTCGCCCAGACTTGAATGGCATCAAACTGGACACATCACTAGCTACTGATCCAGCAAATACATACCTTACATTGATTGCTGCGACTGTTGATGATGTCAACAATAACCCAGTGTTGCCTGAGTCTGTGCCTATGAATGCAGATGATTACTACCCAGACACAGTCCCAGCTGACCTGGAAGCCTTTGATCTGGACATGAATCTTGGTATTTTGACCCTCTCGTTCTCTGAGAGTGTCAATGCATCTTCTCTTGACATCACAGAGATATCACTGCAGCCAGTTGGTAATGTTTCCTCCCCTCTGTTCATGTTCACCGCCTCTAGCTTCACTCCCAGCAGCAACGGACCAGTACTGACTGTGAATATCAGCCTGTTTGACCTGAATGAGTTGAAGAGACAAACACAGCTGGCGACAGACAATTACACAACGTTCCTTTCGGTCACAGAGGGTGCAGTCGAGGACATGAATGATAACACTCTCTCTGTTCTGTCTCCCACTTCTGCTCTCGTTGTGTCAGGTTTCGTAACTGATGACACTCGCCCTGAGCTCCTGTATTTCACGTTGGACTTGGACCGGGAGAACCTCACTCTGTATTTCTCTGAAACAGTCAATGCCAGCTCGCTCAATGCCACTGCCATTACCATCCTGAGTGAGCAGAGTACAGATGCCACTAGAGTGTCTCTCACAGAGGCGTATGTTTCTGCCGACAATGATCCAATTCTGACCCTGACATTCTCTCAAGAGGACCTGAACTTGCTCAAGAGTCTCACTGACTTGGCCACTGATGAGAACAACACATTTCTATCTGTTGAGTACCATTTCCTGATGGATATGTTTGACAACAGCATTGAGCCCATACTTGAAGTGGACGCTCTTCGTGCTGGTGTAGTGTATCCTGATGTAACTCCACCGCAGCTCAGAAACTACTCGCTGAATCTCGACCGTGGAGAGATAGCATTCACCTTCTCAGAGTCTGTCAATGCCAGCTCATTCGATGGCACACAACTGACTCTGCAGTCAAGTGCATCCAATCCTGTGTCCAACTATACTCCAACTATACAGAGCTATTCTGATGTGCCTCTAACGACTAGAGAGAGTGGTACCATTGTCATACTCACGCTAGCTGTCGATGACCTAAACCAGGTGAAAGCACTGGTAGACTTGGCTACTTCTAGGGATGACACTTACATCTCGTTTACGAGTCAGTTCATACGTGATCAGTCAGACAATGAAATAGTCAGTGAGTCATTAGATCAGGCCAGACAAGTCGAGTTCTTCACACCAGACTTGAGTTGTCCATATTTGCAAGACTTTAGTCTAGATTTGAACACTGGACTGCTAAACCTGACGTTCAATGAGCCTGTGAACACTTCGACATTTGATCCGACCCAAGTCAACATACAGAGTGATTCGTCAAGCAATCCTATGCACGGCTACCTTCTCACTGGTGGGTACTACGATGATACATTGTATAGCCAACTTGTCTCCCTGGAGTTGACACAGTATGACTTGAATCGCCTCAAGGCCAACACTCTGCTGGCTACACACCCTCACAACGCGTATGCCCTACTCTTCCAAATGTCTGTGCTAGACACAACCAATATTTTATACTGTCACGACACTGTCCCTACTAAAGCTAGAGAAGTAGTTGAAGATGGTACTCCACCACAATTGGTTGACTACACTCTTGACATAGAATCCAGTGTGCTGATACTCACCTTCACCGAAGTTGTCGTCTTGCCACTGGATTTGACAGCGCTAACCTTTCTAGCTGAACCAGATCTGAGCTACATGGTCCCTGTTGTGTCGAGTGGTAGTGGTAGCGGCAGTAGTGGCTCTAGTTTGTCCAGCAGTGGCAACAGTAGTGCCAGTGGTTCTGGAAGTGGTATTGCCAGTGGTAGTGGGTTGAACACGTCTGATGAAAGCCCAGCTGAGGAACCTGAGATTGTGTCGTATTCACTAACTGGTGGTAACTCTACCATTGACCTTTCCACCACTCCACACATTGTGAGTGTTTTCATAACGGCAGAGGACTTGAACCAGATCAAACACCGCCCAGAGATTGCCGTGTCTGCACCCACAACTCTCCTCGCTCTGACTCCCTCTCTAACAACTGATCACAACTCTAATGCCGTCGTCGAAGTTCCTCGCTCCATGCCACAAGAGGTGAACACCAGCAACTATTTCCCCGATGTCACACGACCAGAGCTTTTGTCATTCAATCTGAACGTGGACACTCTACAGCTCACACTGTCGTTCACGGAAGTGATAAACCTCACGTCATTCAACGTCAGTGCCCTCACACTCCAAGAGTTCAGTTTCCTCATTGCTGGAGAATACTACACCCTGCAGAGTAGCTCGGCCAGCATCAACCCATTGAACCTACCAGAGCTCTTGGTGGATCTCTCGGCAACAAATTCACAGGATGCCAATGCCATCAAGAAACTGACCTCCCTAGCTACATCACCTGACGATACTTTTATCTCGTTCCCTTCCACTCTCCTTCTTGATACGTTTGGTCTACCTGTTGTGCCCATCGCAGAGACCCTAGCTCAACAAGTAGACCCAGCTAATTACACCATAGACTCCAGCCCACCTGTTCTCAGGTACTTTAGTTTCAACTTGAGCACTGAAGTACTAATGTTGACATTTGACGAGACAGTGGACCATCTCTCGACCAATCCTCTGAGAATTACGTTCCAATCTGATGTGTCTGGATCAGGATCAGTCCCACTGACTGGTGGAGAAGTACTGAATGCGGAAGATTCAACTGTCATATCAATACTCCTCAATGACTTCGATCTGAACAACATCAAGCGTGATTTGGAACTTGCCACCAGGAGGAACAACACTTGTCTCCTAGTCCATTCTGCCCTCATAGAAGACCTGTCCACACTGGAAAACACGAATGTTGCTACCTCCCTGTGTGCAACTGACTTTGGTGATGACAGAGTTAGCCCGCAACTCATTGACTTTGAAGTGGACCTCATTGATGATGGTCTCCTGACCCTCCTGTTTGATGAGCCCATCGATATAGACACTGTCAATCTTACCCTCATCACCTTGCTATCAGCCCCAACATCCGGGCCAGGCGTGGAGTCATTCACTCTCACTGGAGGCACTGCTACCACCATGAACCAGCTCCAAGTCATTGTCAACATGACAAGGTCTGACCTCAACACTGTTAAACAGATGTTGAGTCTCATACGAGGAACTGCCTCTTCCTTCGTTTCGATTCCACCAGAGTTTATCACTGATGTCAGTGGAAATCCAGTGACCGAGGTCAACACTACAAGTGCTGTCATGGCTAGCAGTTTTATCAATGATGGTACTGAGCCTAGAATTCTCGCGTTTGACATGGACATGAATACTGGCGTTCTCACTCTATTCTTCTCTGAAACCGTCGATGTTTCGACTTTTGACTTTACTGGTATCACTCTACAGCTGGACTCGGTGGTAACAGACCCAGTGCAATACTTCAGTCTCACACCGAGCACTGTCCCACAGATTGGCGATGCTCCTACTGTGCCCCTGCTAATAAGCAATGATGATCTGAATGTCCTAAAGACCCGGGGAATCGGTCAGACAGAAAATACAATCTGGTTGACATTGAAAAATTACACAGTGATGGACGTTCTTCGACAGCTACCCATAAACCCCATTGCAAATGGATTTGCAAGACCTGTCCGTTTGTATACCAATGACACAACACCACCGCTTGTCGAGAGTTTTGAAATTGATCTAACTGCTGAAACACTCACGCTCCATTTCAATGAATCTGTTGACATTATGTCTCTCAACGTCACCCAGATAACTCTAGCCCCTGGTCCCGACTACAATGAGTCATTTGTATTCACTCTTACTGAGAATTCTTTCCCAGAAACTGATGAAAACCTGCCGACAATAGTGATCAAACTCGGAACATTAGACCTGAATGCGATCAAACAAAACACTCTGCTGGCTACATCACGGAATGATACATACTTGTATTTCGCTGAATCCACCATCACAGACACTTTTGGAAACAGTGTGGTTGAGCAGAACACAACTAGTGCTCTAATGGCAGCAAACTATGAGCAGGACAATACCTCTCCAAGACTCACTGGGTTTGACCTGGACCTGGACACGGGCATACTCACACTGAGTTTCACTGAGACTGTCAATTCCTCAAGTCTCGATACGTCTGGCCTCACCTTCTACAGTGATGATACTGGGATGATGGGTGAGATATACTCACTAAGCGGGCTCTATGATTCTGTCACACCGCCAGCAGATGTTATTGAGATCGTGCTCACCAATGACGATCTGAACGAAATAAAGGTCCTTGAAGGCTTGGCTACCGATGGAAAGAACGATACTTTCCTACAAGTAGAGCCATTTAGTATTGAAGACATGCAGGGAAATGAGGTCATTCTATCTGAGATCGAAGCAGTGACTAGATATGAAGCTGATGAGACAATCCCTGAGTTGATTGCGTTTGAAATTGACATGGACAGCGGACGTCTGATGCTTAACTTCACTGAATCTGTTAACGGCAGCTCGCTCCGATTCGACTACCTCGCCCTCCTCCGCTATGAGACATTCGTCCCGACGCCCGGTAACCCTGATGACCAGTTCCAGTTGACCCGTGGAGTGATCACAAGTACCAACGGCCCCTCGCTCTCCCTCCAGTTCTCAGAGGGCGACCTGAACGAGATCAAACGACAGGACATGTGCACCAAAGAGGGACAGGAAGAGAGCTGTTTCCTCGTCTACCGATCTGATGCCATTGCTGATATGAATAACAACCTCATTTTCGGTTGTCGGCAAACATTTGTTTCTACATGAGCTGATTATTAACTGAACTATAGAGAGAGTAATTAAACTAACAGAGTAACTGTAATAAACATTAAAATAGCTGCTCTATCGTAACAAAGTTGTAAATAATTGCTTGGTTATTGTAACATCATAATTTAAAGTTTAATTTGTGATCGCGCAGTGTCCAACAATTGCTCACGATAACAGTGGAACATAACAACAAGCACAATAACAAAAAGGTAGTAAAGGAACAGTGTGATTAGGTAGCTATCTTGCGGTCTCGGTCCAGATTGTCCTTCACTGTCTTGTTGATTACATATTCGCTCTCCTGCGCAATCTCTGACAGGCGTAGATCAAAGACTGTGAGTGTGCTGTTTTCTTCCATCCCTTCTTGTAGGAACCTGCCTCCCGACTGAAAAGCACAGAGAACAACAATGATAAAACCACAGGTGTGGTATTTGCATGTGTCAAGAACGAGGCCGAAGCACAAAGGCACACAACACAACTACTACCAGGACAACTCTTTGGTAAAAAGAGCTGCCCTGGGTTGGCTTTGAACCCACAACACTCAGCAATGCACATGGCATTCCACCCTCACCTCTCCAAGTTTGTTGCAGGAAATATTCAACTCCTTCAGTGTCCCATTTGTCTGTAGAACCTGGTCGATCACATGCCATACAGTAATCAGGGGCTAAAGGTGTAATGTATACCTCTGCTAGAGCTGGTGCTGAGGCTTCTGTGAAGTCATTGCTGCCCACATTCAGTGAGACAAGCGAGGAATTTGTCGTTAGAGACTTTAGAATTGGCTGAACACCTTCATCACTCAGCCTGTTGGTGGTTTACGATACCTGAAACATGGCTTATGGAGGCACCATACCTGTTTAATCTCAAGTCGAGGTGTAGTAGTGTAGAGTTTGTTTTTAGGGAGTGTCCCAGAGACTTTCCGCCGTCTGGACCAATCTCGTTGTTGGTGAGCACTAGTGTCTCCAGACGACAGGCTGGCATGCCTAGCAACTTCCCCAGGGCACGACCAGTGCGGCTCTTCAGCTTGTTATGAGACAAGTCTGAGGAACCAAAACAGTCACATTGTGTTAAGACGATCACAACAGTGGTAAGAAGGGAACACAATACGTATATATGTTGCATTGCACCACGGTACACTGTGTCTCAATTACCAGACGTCCCTTCCCGTTGGGCTGGGCACGAGACTATACACTCATTTGTGTTATGCCACGAAGGTAGAAATGCATTCTATTTTTCTGACACGCACAACATGCTGGCCACATCAAATTGCTTGCCTTTGCGGTACATTGCGAACCCAGATCTTTATAGTTCAATACCATACCACATAAATGTGCTTTGGCTCATTTCATGTTGTTGTTTGTGTAAGAGCACGTAGCCGGTGTATTGATGCCGCACAGTTAGCTCTACCTAGTACTGCAAGTCCAGGGTGCTCCAGCAATCCTTTGACCAGCACTCTTCCCTCCTCCTCCCCCATCTTGGAGCTGGTGACCTTCAGAGTGTGGAGAGTGGGAGTGGCCTTGAGGCCGTTGACAAGGTTCTTGCAGTCAGTCACAGTGAACTGGAACAAACCCCACTCAAAGTTCATGCCACAATTCTCAACCCTGTTGAAACATAGGATATGTATCACAGGCAATTGCATGCACTGCAAACAAAAACGAGGTCGAAAGGCAAATAAAAGGCAAACAACACAACTGATTTGATTTCTTACCCAAACATTAGACTCAGCTCCTTCATGTTATGCAGGGTCTTGAGTAAGACCCCGCAATCGAGGTGATCATTGGCGAGTGCATGTGCCAGGTCATCGCTCCCTGCATCTCCTTCATCAGCAGGGGCAAGCAGCTCACCCTGTGGCCTTGGCAAGAGTTGCTTCACTTGAAGACGCTGGACAAACTCTGAGCACAACTTCAGCTTTTCTTCAAACTACAGATCACAGAATAACAGCCTTTTTTGCATACCATGCACATGAATGCAAGGAAAGGAGTCATTGCTATGCAGTTTTAATATTGGAGCAGACCAATATACATGTTTCGACCCACACATCCGTACTGAAGCGAAAGGCACACTGCACTCACTTCCTTCTTGTCAGACTTTTCGGGCACAAAGTGCTCAACAAGCTCTGCGGCGTGTCTCTCGAAAAACATCCTCCTCCAGTTCTTGTCGTAGGAGCTGACATCACACAGAGCCCATCGGCTCCTGCAGCACCGCTCCCAATAGCCTTCGTCAGCTATCAGCCCAGCTGATATGCTATGGGGATAGATTCTGAATGGCGTGAAGGTCGGTGATAGTAGTGTACACTATACTTGAGTGGAAGTGTTGTGGGAAGTTTCTCCAGGACTTTCCTCTGGTACTTTTCAGGGAGCTCTTCAAGCAGTGGCCTTTCTGTGTTACAATTCTTAGTCAGTGATGTTTACCCACTACTAAGTGTTGGACTAACCATGAAAGTGCTTAATGATGTGTTGTATGCACGAGTCGACCAAGGGAGGGACGGTCTCGAGGTTCCTGCAGGAGGAAATCGATTAGATCTGTCGCAGACATGCCGAGTGGTGTCGCACCATTCCGGGTCTTCTGCTATTATGCGACGCATCTTTCGCGGATCGGCCGCTGGATTCTTCGTCTCTCTCTAAAGATGGGTCGGAGTGACTATTCTTGCTTTTCTAGGGATTACTTTACCTCTGAGATCTCCATGATGAGTTCAACTTGCACCTCTTACGGCGTTTACGGTGCGCTTCTATTGGAATTTGTTTGTTTCCATAGAAACTCTTACCCGTGTGATTACGTCACTGAGGTCGAAGGTCGCGTGAATAAACTACAGAGAGAGCGCGGGAAAATATCTTCCCTCGTGTGTGTGTGTGTGTGCAAAGCCAAAGCCGAGATGGCATCCTTGCACAAGTTCTTTGTAAGTAGAATCATCCCTCTGTATGAGTGATATGGAAGTATCTTTCCGTGTAAAGCAGAGTCATACTGTATTTTCCCATGTTTAGCCCGTCAAAGAGTTGGGAGGGGAGGTGGAGAGTGAGGAGGGAGGCGAGGGAGGGGGAGGGAAGGAGAAGAAGGGAAACAAGAGGCTCTCGGTGGAGAGGATCTACCAGAGGAAGACGCAGCTGGAGCACATTCTGCTGAGGCCTGATACGTACGTTGGGTCCACCGAGGAGAGCACGGAGCTCACCTTTGTCTACGACGCTGAAAGAGAGGCCATCGTAAAGAGAAACGTCACCTTTGTCCCCGGTCTCTACAAGATTTACGACGAGATATTGGGTGAGGATGTTCAGTACATTGTGTGGCCGTGTGCTGCATTTGATGTTCTGTTGCTCATTCACATTGCAGTGAATGCTGCAGACAACAAGCAGAGGGATGCGAGCATGAAAGCCATCAAAATTGTCATCGACCCGTAAGTTGATGAGTCACTGAATCTTTTATGAGTACACTTGATGTACTGTATGTGTATTTTGCTAGATGTACATAGTAGTGTATTTGTTGCTCAGTAATAAAGTTAGAGCTGATGTGCCTACATACTAAGTGAGTGGACTGTGCCATAGCCAGTTATTTGAGGTTTGCCTTGGTTTTGTGTTGCAGACAAGCTCCTGCCTTCTGAGTTGCTCTGGTACAGTTCAGTGGGTTGAGCATTCTGCCTAGAATTTTGGGTTACAATTCCGCCCGGGGTAGCTAATTTGGAGTTGTCCTGGGTGAATGTAGTTGTGTTGCTTTGCCTCGTGACTTTGTTGTTGTTATAATGCTTGGCTGTAATAGTCGTCAAGAGCAGTGATGTAATTGTCTTTGATTTCCCTGTGTATAGAGAGCAGAACCTGATCAGTGTGTGGAACGGAGGCCGAGGTATCCCTGTGGAGATGCATACCACCGAGAAGATGTACGTCCCGGAGCTGATATTCGGGACCCTCCTCACCTCCTCCAACTACAACGACGAGCAGAAGAAGGTGACGGGAGGAAGAAACGGCTACGGCGCCAAGCTCTGCAACATCTTCAGCACAGAGTTCACCGTGGAGACTGCCAGCAAGGAGTCTGGCAAGTCATTCAAACAGGTATACATATGTATACAGTCATTCTAATCTGTGTTAGTGAGGTGTATTTATTTCAGGGGGTAAATTCACGTGCAAGAGCTCTTCTTGTGGAAAGATATAAGGTGTCCTTGTTAGAGAGGTGTCCCCATTTGGGATGTCTTTATAGAGGGGTTCCAAATACACATGTACAGAACATGAAAAGTATATTTATACCATACTAGCCACAGAGAATAGAAAAGAAAAAAGAAAACCAGAAGTCACCCTCCACCCCCCATCCTCCACCCATACACAGACACAAACAACACAGTTGCACACAACACGGTAGGACACCAGGTGCCCAGCCTTAAGAACTGGGGCGGTGGGTTAAAGAGTCTTTTATGGCATGCCAACTCTCCCCACACACCTAGTGTCCAAACCGAATGACAAACAATCACAATGACAGTCACTATACATAAGCAGTAGAAAAAAAATAAAATATATTTGTGTATAAAAAATATATATATAAAGAACTGATCTAAAAAGAAAGAGGCAGTAAAAAACTCTGTATAATAAGTCCGTAGAAAAATAGACAAAATAGAAATATATATATAAAATCTGGAAAGAGAGAATAAAAACTTACGTGCAGACCAGGCCATGAGCACCAGAGCGGCTTTGCTATTTAGTGCACAGTTGTATGCACGCGTTGTAAAATTAAAAACGTATTGTTTAAATAGATCTGCGTGAGTAAAATAAAAATGTACATGTCCTTCTCAACCTTTTCTGCTTGTCATTAGCATATGTACAGGCCCAATAGGCCAAGCTTAGTTTTGAGAGAGTAGTTCCAAGTTTGGATTCCAGTTGTAGTTTCTTCGGTCGGGTTTCTATACAATGCACCCTGTATACGTCTACTAGTGCACATGCATTGTTATCACACGATCCTTACTGGGTGGAAATTTTCCCCCAGAGACACGAGTTTTCCTTTGCTCTTGTAACATTTAGTTCATATGTACTGCAAATTACCTTAAATTGACCATAATTTTTTACCAACTAGACGTGGAAGAATAACATGGGGACATCGGGCAAAGCTAAGGTTACTTCCAGCAGTTCCGACTTTACCAAGGTATAACGTGTAATGTGTGTACAAGTCTTGTAAGGCCAGCAATTGTGTATTAGCGGCATCAGAAACTAATGTTTGATGATTGAACTTGTTACGTGGTCCATTCATTCACAAAGGCAAACCTCAAACCATTGTACAATAACAAGTGTTATACACTCTCGCTCATTATGCTATTCTCCATAATACTGTTACCCGACAGGTGACGTTCAAGCCGGACCTGGCAAAGTTCAAGATGACCCACCTGGACTCAGACACAGTGGCCCTCATGACACGGAGGGCCTATGACATTGCTGGCTGCACCAAGGGAGTGGCAGTCCATCTCAACGGAACTAGACTACCCGTAAGAACGGCCAACTTGCACATTATGCATATGCAGTAGCTCAGGAAAGCAGTGGGGGCTGAAGAATGATAGATTTGAAGTGAATAGCTCACGTTTGCTCCAAAAAAGAAGGGAAAGGAAGAAAGGAGGGTTGCAATTAGGAGCTGGACTGTGTAATGTACAAAATCTATGTACACAATATGGATGGATAAACAGACACCATTCTTTCAGTCTAATCTGGAGGTCCGCAGGTTAATAATTCTGAGGTGTACGTAGCCAAGTGAAGAAAGTTGTTCATGCCAGCACAACACATGCACAGGTAGTAGACTAAGCCCGAAATAGCTTCTGCTGCAGTGAAAGACTCTAGTTGTAATAAATGGGATTTATATCTGCTGTAATCTCTGGTGAAGTGTTGTGTGTGACTGACTGACTGCAGGTGAAGGGTTTCAAGGACTACGTGGAGCTGTATGTGAAGGGAGACCAGAGCCAGACAGAGGAGGAGATGCCTCGGAAGGTGGTCTACGATGCCGTCAATCCTCGCTGGGAGGTGGCCGTGACTGCCAGCAACCACGGCTTCCAACAGGCCTCCTTTGTCAACTCCATTGCCACTACCAAGGTTTGTGTGTGCAGTTACACCTCTGTTATCTGAGACAAGGACAACCTAAGCCTTCATCTTTGGGTTCTACAGCTTCTGTTTTAGGCTGAGTGTCTGCATTAATGCTATCTGTATGTATGACTGTCCACTGCAAAGCATTCTACTTCTACGAACATCCAGCTAGCCTTCTCCGCTACCTGGACCGCCGTGAACATCTGGTACACCACCACCTGATGACAAAATGAACTCAGTAACAACACATGTTAGCTACAATACTTCTAGTTAACCCAGGGGGTAATTTTGGTCTCACAGACAGACCTAATGGTATTTGGAACCTCAGGGACAGACCTGGTGCCTGAGGATGCTGAGGAGCTTGAATCAGAATCAATCGTTTGGGTGCCTATGCACATTGTGGCATGTGAGAGCTGTCTTGTTTACCGCCAGTGCCTGAGTTTAAGTGCAGTGTTTCTACTGCATGCTCTCGCACTTTGATGGTGTGACATTACAGAAGCACACGTTACGGAACCTTCATTGTTTAACTGGCATGTACATTTATCTCAGGGAGGCACCCATGTGAACTACATAGTGGACCAGTTGGTCTCGAAGCTCCTGGAGGCTGCCAAGAAGAAGAACAAGGGAGGCATGGACCTGAAGCCGTTCCACATCAAGGGTCACCTGTGGGTGTTTGTCAATTGTCTTGTCGAGAACCCCACCTTTGACTCCCAGACCAAGGAGACCATGACTCTCAAGGTCAAGTCCTTTGGCTCCACCTGTCCCCTCTCTGAGAAGTTCATCAAACAGGTAAGCTGTCACTGTGTTCCAGGGGATGTTCAAACATGTGCATTGTTCAGTGTGATTGATTAAGACAGAAAAATGCACAAAGTGTGATTGATAGGTTTGCTCAGTAGAAATTGTGTGAATTGTTTTTGTGTATGTTTGTGATCATTATTCGTATACTTGCCCCCCCATTCCTTCTTTCTTCTCTCTCTGAAATATCACCGTTGTTGGTAATGTTGCGATCAGGCTCTGTCATGTGGAGTGGTGGAGAGAGTGCTGAGCTGGGCCAGAGTCAAGTCTCAGGACAAGTTGGCCCAGAAACAGAAAGGCTCCAAGCAAAACAAACTTCGGGTAAGTAACCACAACACCCTATCATTAGTTTAATCCTTATTATACACTAGTGCATGTGTTTATGGACAAACTAGGTGTTTTGCAAAATGCAAGAGATCCAGTCCATCGTTTTTGTGCAGTAAGAAAGTGGGCCTAAAGTATATATATACGTAGTTATATGTAGTTTGTATGTTGTCACTAGGAATCACTCCATTGTGTATGCTATCGATTTTCCCTTGGCATATTCTATCATTTGGGTTTTCGTACTCTTTCGTTTCATTGACTTGGACTGAAATGAAACAGTACGAAAACGCAAATGACAAGGGAAGATCAAAAGCACACATGATGTAAAAATGGAGCAGTGAACAGAAGGTAGTGGAAGGAAAAGGGAAAACACAGGACTCTACGTTAAAACTGAACAGCAGTGTTTCCCGCAGCATTATAACAACCGGGCGCTCCACCTGGATTGAAAAATCCCGAAAATGGGCGTGCACAATTATTGCGCATGGTAAAATGCAACTAGCAGGTGTGCACTGCTTAGAGAGTAGCACTTGAAAGGCTTTAGGCCAGTAGGGGGTTTCCCAACAGGAAGTACTTTGAAACATGAGTAGCAAGTGTTTTCAGCCTGAAAGCTGAGGTAATTAATAATTCATAAGCACCTTGTTTGAGTATTGCCCTGCGGGAAACACTGAACAGTGACTGACTTTAACTAACGAAACAATAGTAAATGCTAAACGGAATCAAACGGAACCGTACTAGAAACATTTATACCCCACCCCTACCGTATGTATGTGTATGTATATACTTGCTACTGCCCGTGCCGCTACAGGGTATCCCAAAGTTGGATGATGCCAACGACGCTGGAGGCAGAAACTCCCACGAGTGTACTCTCATCCTGACTGAGGGAGACTCAGCCAAGACGCTGGCTGTCAGCGGGCTGGGCGTGGTCGGGAGAGATCACTACGGCGTCTTCCCACTCAGGGGAAAACTGCTCAACGTCAGGGAGGCCTCTCATAACCAGGTCAGCCTGGATGGGACCTATCTTGTACATACTAGGTATAAGAAGTGCTACTGTACTTAGTGATCTAAATGGCTGTTGCTCTAGTAGAGTATGTATTTGTTGGGGCAAAAAGTTGTTATGTGAACGCATATTCTGCAAAGAAAAATATATGTAGGGAGTTTGTGTGAATGTGCATGCGTCAGTGAAAGCTTGATGCATAAATTTAACCCTAACAATAATCCTGCTATTGGTATTATAATACATAGGTAGGTAGTACACATGTTGCATAGTAGTTTTGTATATATACACTACATGTACATGTGTGTACTGTACATATGTACATGTTAGTTTGTGAGAGTGTCTACTATATGTACAGTTGGTAGAGCGCTCGCCTAGACTGCAGAGTGTCGTGGGTTTGAATCCCACCCAGGGCAACTCTTCTTCTTTTCTTTGAAAAGAAAGAGCTGTCCGGGGTGTAGTTGACTTGTTTGCCTTGCCTTGCCTTTCTACCTCGTTACCAAGTTGTTGGGTCATGCAACCATAGCTGCCTACTTTCCACTGGTTGCAGCTGATGAACAACGAAGAGATCACCAACATTGTCAAGATCCTGGGCCTCCACTACACCAAGAAGTACACCGACGGTCCTGAGCTGCGCAGCCTGCGCTACGGGAAGCTGCTGATCATGACCGACCAGGACCAGGACGGCTCTCACATCAAGGGACTCATCATCAACTTCCTCCACCACAACTGGCCTGGACTCCTCCGACAATCCTTTATACAGCAGTTCATCACTCCCATTGTCAAGGTGAGCAGAGCAAGGTCCAACTTGAAGTAGCATACACCTATGTACACGGTGCGTGTCCTGTGTTAGACAAATCTCATGCTACTTCAATATAACGATCCATGCAACATGATGCATGAAACTAGTACAAAATACAGTGATGATCCCATAATACAGTGTATTAGTTAACGTATAGGCGGCGAGGCGGTACAGGATATAGATATACTCTGAGGCCGGTATAGTCAACAGCCGAGGAGGATATCCTGTACGCACCCGAGATGCCTGACGTTAACTGATTTGTAGTTCAACTAGCCAATCACAATGCTGAATTTCTGCTGTGTCATCCTGTATAATGAATGTACTAATGTAATAATGGATTGTTACTTTGGAAGCCAGACAATTTGCACTACGCCTAGCGCTAGATGTTGTGATAAGGACTTCCTGTCCAGATATTTGTCAGCCCTCAGCCCACAGCTCAGAATACAGCGTATATTCCTAGCGCTGGGTTGTTTGAAGTTGGACTACGAACGTGATTAAAGTTACATAAGACGACCCAACAAAGTTGCACCGTGTATATTTTATGTTGGCCTTTACTGGAGTTCCTGCTACACTCAAGCGAGTAGTAATGTCGATGAATCATTGGGGTTTGAGTGGGTAGTTTCCTCATATATAGTAGTAACCTGTGTGTATACTGGTGTCTGTAAAATGCCAGCGTAGGTTTTTGTCATGTTTTAACACTGCAATGTGTGTGTGTGTGTGTGAAAACAGTAAGTGTATTAGGATGGGGATAAAACATGTCCCCTTTGTAGAGATGTCGTCCCTATCTCAGAGGGTCCCTTATCGGAGGTTCCACTGTACATAAAATGCATTCAAAATAATCACTATAAACTGTCCCACACCACAGGTGTCAAAGGGCTCGAGGGCGATTTCGTTTTTCTCGCTGCCCGAGTTTGAGCAGTGGAAGTGCTCGACCGAGGGTGCCCACACCTGGAAGGTCAAGTACTACAAGGGTCTGGGGACCAGCACGGGCAAGGAGGCAAAGGAGTACTTCTCTGACATGGAGCGCCACAGAATCCCCTTCAAGTACAGCGGAGCCAACGACGACGATGCCATTCTTCTTGTGAGTGTCTATCATTGTTGCATACAGAGAGGGGGTGGGGACACACTGGGATTTCCTCCCTCCACATTGAGACCACCGGAATTTAAGTCAGGCTAATGATAACAGCATCAAGTTTGTAACGAGTATCTATGTACATAATCAGATTTAGCGGGTATTAATATCCTCCCACCCATATAGAACTGTTTGCAATCCTATATAGAGGCTTAGGGGATTACACGATACGATGTAGTACAGCCGAGTTGCCCTGGTATGTAGCTCAGTTGGTAGAGCGCTCGCCTATAAAGCAGAGTGTTGTGGGTTCAAATCACCTAGGGCAGCTCTTCTTTTTGAATTGTCCTTGACTTGTTTGCTTTGCCTTAGCCTTTGCCTCTCTACCTCGACCTGTTGTTGTCATATGTATAGGCAAGGCTCTGGTCTCAGTCCCCTACAGTGATTCAATGGATGTCTGTATGTAATATTTTGGCCGTGTGCGAGGGTCAGGAAAATAGTCTATTTCTTGTAATAAACTCTCATTCATTAACTATGTAATTGCCCTCTTTGTCTGTTTGTTTACAAGGCGTTCAGCAAGAAGTGTGTGGAGCGTCGTAAGGAGTGGCTGACGCAGTGGCTGGAGCACCGCCGGGAGCAGAGGGACCAGGGTCTGGACGAATCTCTCCTTTACGCCGAGCAGATGGACCACATCTCCTACTCCGACTTTGTCAACAAGGAGCTCATTCTCTTCTCCAACATGGACAACGAACGCTCCATTCCCAGCTCTGTGGATGGTGAGTTTGGAACGTTGGGTTACATAGCACTTTGTGAACCTAACTGTGTACAAATACAGGGTGTGGATAAATTCTGACATTTTGTTTAAATGTCTAGGGTTGTCTATCTGTCTGGGGGATGCCTACCTCATCCCCCCAATAAGTACTATTCTCTAAGATGTGGAAATCCGGGGTGTGGATAAATGTTGACATGGGTCTGGAGTGGCATAGGCAAAGTAATCTGATTTGTAGTTATCAATACTAAGTTGCTCGCTAATGCGCATGCCCACGTTTTGTTTGTGCCGAGGCTTTGCGTTTTATCATGTTGCCATTTTTATTCTGTCATTTCTGGAGCCTATCGCTGCTGTGCTGTGGCGACTAGGGATTAAATTATAATAATAGCGAGTCCATGAAATCTACTGTTAGAAGCCTGAGGACCCTTGCATTGTGGCAGTACTAACGCAGCGAGGACGCTACGGAAAAGGCCCGATTTAAAGTATTTTAGTACACATTCCCAATTTACGTGCACTTTTTCCGCATATGCCGGTTGTGTGGGGAAACAGCGCTGCGGGCATTTAGTAAAGTTGTTGCGAGTTGTACATAATTATACTACGAGATTTAGTAACGCGTTTTCACATGTGAGTGCATACTAAGGTAAGGTGTATTTGTGTGTGTAGGACTGAAGCCTGGTCAGAGGAAGGTGTTGTTCACTTGTTTCAAGAGGAATGACAAGAGAGAGATAAAGGTGGCCCAGCTGGCCGGCTCTGTGGCAGAACATTCTGCCTACCATCACGGAGAGGTATGTAGGGTGATTTATATGTACCTGTACCATGTGGACCACAATATATCACTATTGGTGAGTCAAAATGAAGTGACCCCATTTTGAAATGCAGGGTTGTTCTGTATTTATACATATCTAGTGACAATCATGTCACATGTGTATGTAGTGTGGTGCTTGTGAACTAGTTTGGGGTGGTTCGACTGCATCGAACCACCTTGCACCTTCTCGAACCACTTCATAAGAGCATGTTAATAGTTACCCCACACTTTCTATGGACTTGCTTGCCAAAAGGCACTGCTTGCATCTCTACTGGACCGTTTTCACGAGATTTATGAGAAACAGTAGCTCTACCAACTGTTCAAGCAGTGGATGTACGTACTAGTACCTGCCTTATATCACTACATGTACATGTGACAGAGGTTAGAAACAATTTTCAACTCTACGACTAACTAAATTTTAGTCATTGACAAAAGTCTGGATTACTGTGAGCCATTCAGTCACTGGACATAGATCTCCAGAGTCTCAAAGTTAATAACTTCAGCGCCTAGAGGTTAATAGAACACAGCCTCACCTCAATGTCATCACTGGTTGGAGGAGAGATCTCTTTCCTGAACCATGGTGGAGAGTTGAAGTCACAGCAGGTGTTGTACTCACCACATCCAGCACCATCCCAGAGAGGATCATCTTTATAGTAGGTGTTCGACGACATGGTTCTCACTGCCAGTGTCACAGAAGTAGTCGTTTCCAATAAAGCTGGGCACCACAGGAGGTGGATTCCAACGTGTGTCTGTGCAGGGACAAACAGAGTCTTTCTGAGAGTGGTGCTCGTGAAGTGCTGCAACAAATGTCCAGATGTGATTGCGTGGATTAGATCCATACGTTAGGCTGATTCCATCAACGTAGGTTGCGTCGATATCTCTAACACTACCTTCGAATGCGTCTGTTGAACCAAACTGGTATCCAATAATCTTGCCACACACTTGAGAGTACTCTACTCCCTGTACTGGCAACATAGCCGAAGAGCATCCACTACCATCAATGTTCCTCGTACACACATTGACAACAAAAGTGAAGGTGGCCCTCAGACCAGATGGACAGGTACTGCTAGTGTCAGTCATGTCGATAGAGGCCACCCTCATCCAGCCTCCAGCTACACCTTTGCAGCTCCTCTCCATGTCACAGTACATTTGACTGGGTCTGTTGTCTGTTCCCCTGAGCCAGTAGAGACCTGAGGTAGACTGTGTGGCCAGCTGGAGGATCTCCTCGCAGGAGGAGGCAGGGTGAGTAGCATTGTAGCCGGGAGTAAAGTCACAGTACATTTGACTGGGTCCATTGTCAGTTCCGCTGATCCAGTAGAGACCTGAGGTAGACTGTGGGGCCAGCTGGAGGATCTCCTCGCAGGAGGAGGCAGGGTGAGTAGCATTGTAGCCGGGAGTAAAGTCACAGTACATTTGACTGGGTCCATTGTCAGTTCCGCTGATCCAGTAGAGACCTGAGGTAGACTGTGGGGCCAGCTGGAGGATCTCCTCGCAGGAGGAGGCAGGGTGACTGGGAGTGTAGCCAGGAGTGAACATTTCGAAGACTGTTACTACCATAGCATGCATAGCTCTATTCAACTCCCTCCTGAGTTGACTAGTAGTCAGTGGTTGTTCCTTCTCCTGACAGGCACAGACTACTATGCAAACGACAAGCAGCACTGCAGAGGCCAGCACACGAATTTCCATGATTGAGAAGGCACAAGTGCTACTTCAACCTGTCTTGTACTTTATGTAGCATTGCTGGTTTTGTCTGTCATAGACCACACAATGGGCTATACAACTGAACTACACTGCCACAATTAACACAGAAAAACTCCCATATGTTGCGGAGCTTCTTAATGACCTAGATGTCGTGGTGCAGTCATATGAAGTGGTAGCAAGGCTAATGCATGCTAATAAGAAGACTCTGAAATGGCAGTGTGGTCAAGAGCTATGGTCATATGAAATGGTAGCAAGGCTAATGCATGCTAATAAGAAGACTCTGAAATGGCAGTGTGGTCAAGAGCTATGGTCATATGAAATGGTAGCAAGGCTAATGCATGCTAATAAGAAGACTCTTAAATGGCAGTGTGGTCAAGAGCTATGGTCATATGAAGTGGTAGCATGGCTAATGCATGCTAATAAGAAGACTCTTAAATGGCAGTGTGGTCAAGAGCTATGGTCATATGAAATGGTAGCAAGGCTAATGCATGCTAATAAGAAGACTCTTAACTGGCAATTGGTCAAGAGCTATGGTCATATGAAATGGTAGCAAGGCTAATGCATGCTAATAAGAAGACTCTTAAATGCCTTACAGGGTTAGATGTGTGGTCAAGAGCTATGATCATTCTCCTAACTGCTAGCAGTATGTAGGATTTTCTCTGATAACCAAGTTAACAAGCTAATATACAAATTATCACTGGCTTACCGCGACTACATAGATGTGCATGCTCTGCGTACGTTGGAGGCACCAGAGGTTGCAATGCGGGGCGTGTATCAACTCGCGCATGTTATCTAGTAGTATACGTAGCTAGCCCGTTACCAACTCTCAGCGACCTGGTAGGAGACCACGAGTCAGCATAACGGTATGATGGCCCAGCCCACCAATTAGCAGTACATAAGACTTCTGCGTGCACGTTTTCACATAGGCCAAAATTCTGCGGAGAATGTTTTCCAAGCCTAAAAACATAGCAAATGCACAGCGAAAGATCTTAGTTTCATGCTTACCTTGCCTGCAGCCTTTCACATAAGGCTGTGTAGGTCGCACGTTTGCCTACATGGAACCCTTCTCTAGTGACCTAAAGTCGTTCTAGATCTGTTCTAATGTGTATAAGAGCTTCTACGGCGCCTGGGGATGAGCGGTTACTGATTGTACCAGGCTCCCCTGCAAAAAACGCACTGGGAACGAGGCTAGCGTTTCCAGTGTGCCGAGGGTTGCCTTGCTTGCTTTTCATGTACATTGGCTGGCATTACTAAAGTCTATTTGACCTAGGATAACCTTTGAAAAATTGAGTTTACCAATTGACTAACACGATTAGCATACTTGGATTTAACCCTCGGT